TTATTGGAATATTTCATCGCGTTACTTGATTTAGAGCCATGTTATTCAGCAGATTCCCTGTGTTATTTCAATTTTCACTATGTTATTGGAATAACACATCTCTAAATCAAGTAATGCGTCAGAATATTTTAATAATATTTCAGCCTCAAATCAAACGACATGATTAAATATTTCAATAACACTGTAAATTAATCGAATAACATTATATAATACTCAAATAACACGTTATTTTTACAAATAACACAGATGAAATATTTCTGTAACACAGCCGAATATTCCAATCCGAACGTAGCTCTACGTTAAGAGTCCTGGTGTAATATTTTTCCGATTTGGGTGCTGGAGAAAGGGGAAGAAGAAGATATTTGTTTAGGGCATTTACGTATACAACCCAATTCTTATCAATTTACATATCTAACACCTAGTCTTCATTATTTTCATCCATAACACTTAAATCTTCCCTATCTTTTTTAAAATGAAATACACTTAATTTTCACACATAGGTTTATGACACCAAAGGGTTATATGGGTAAATATTGAATTTAATGTTTTAAATCTGTAAATACATAAGAATTGTGGCATGCATGTAGATTTCCTTCTAATAATTTTATTTAGAGGCATTTATCATCTGATTCCCATCTATTTTTATATGTATCATCTAAACTTTATCTTTTTTATTTTTACAAGTCAAATCTTTCATATCACATTAAACATACTGCTATTTTAACTTTTAAAAATTAAAATATACATTTTCTTGGATAAACTAGGTGGCATGTACGCTAAAAATTAAAGTTTTGGTGTTAGATGTAACTACATAGGAATTGAATCCTATGTATGTGAATATTCTTTTTTATTTAAGTTAATCTTATCTAAATTAGTATTTTAATAAATGGTAATCGATAGATTTACTACAAAGCTAATTATAATTATATAAACTTTTGTGTTAGTACTTCATAATTGTTTAAAAAAATTAAATTGCATATTAAAACTTAATTATTTTTTTAATTTTAATTTGTTATTATTTTGTCTATACTATCAAAGATTAATCAATAATTATAACTTCTTGGTTCATAAAACACTAGTTTAATAATATTTATTAATGATTAATTAGTTTAGTAAATGGTTAATAATCTATTAAAAAAATTAGGAATAAAAGTTAAATTTATTTGATTTAAACTTAATAATTACATCATAATATGTAATGTTAAGTTTATATTTGAACTGAAAGATATAAATCCTGAAATAAACTTTCAATTTATCTGTTAAGGTTCAATTGAAATTAACATGTCATGTCAAATAGTTTCAGGACTTGAGCACCTTATAATTAACTAAGTTCGAATTTATAAGATTTTCTAGATCATAATTAACTGCCAAACAACCCCAAAGCCTCATAATGCAAATCTGTTAGATTTTTTAAATCTGCATTCTTCATAATTTAGCAAATTCTACTAAATCATTAGGAATTGAGAAGAAATTAGGATTTAACCAGTTATAGGATTCAAGTACTTTTAAAAAAAATATTGGGTGAAATTTATCATATTCATCTTAAATTTCATTTAGTTCCACAATGCAAATGACCCTAAGTGATTTAATTTGTTAACTAAAATATTTCTAACTCAAATGTTTTACTGCAGAGAAACCTGAAATTATCTCGGTGACGCCAGACAAGATATGCCAACTCATTCGCTGAACTTGATTTCTTGACACATGAAGGTTACATTTATATTATCCATCTATGTTTTTGGTTCAATGAATGTGTAATAATATTGTACACATAGTTGAGCTTTTATCTTATATTCAGTTACACAAGTATTTAGTGAACAATTGATATGTTATAGTGTTTGGTATGATTAAAAAGCTAAAATGTCATATTACTAAATGCATCGTGTTAGCTTCTTATAGATTATTTTTTCTTGTTATACCTAATGACATTTAAGGAATTATATGGTTGCTTATTTAATCTCTATTTGAATTTTCTTATTATGAAAATTATCATTTAAATATCAAGAATGATGCTGTAGTGGTATTTCTTATTTAAGTTACGCTAATTGACAAGACATTATTTAATATTGTTGTGTACAAAGAATGATAGATGCTGATAAAATCACTCTCTGTGGGTAATAATATACTCTTAATCTAATGCATACACTTAATCAAGGGTCTAGCTTGTAGGCCAAACCTAGAGAATTTTCAAGAAAAAATGACACTCAAATCAGTAATTTAGTTTGGAGGTACATCAGTCCTTATTATACACATTTGTTTGTGCATTTGAAGTGGGTTGTTTAGGTATTTTGGTGCAGCAATTCATGAATAGATGATCTATATTTTTTCCAATGGTTAGATTAAAAAGCCTTTAAATAGTATGTTTTTTTATCCTTGAATGGTTAAAGGATTGAGAGCTAAGCCATTTTATTTTTAAGATCATTATTAGATCATTGATGAATTGAAAACAGCTTATACCCTATGTTACTACCCTTGAAGTTTGATGGTAAGGAGAACTCAAAGATTTGTCAAAAATCAAGATTGGCAGAATTGGTGAAGGAATTATTGGGTTTTTTTTTGTCTTTTTTGTTGTTGTTTTTGTGAAGAATTCAGTATTTCTCACAACAATTCGACTACTAATTTTACAAATAATTTTTTTGTTGTTGTTGTTGTTGTTGTGAAGAATTCAGTAATTCTCACAACAATTCGACTACTAATTTTACAAATAATTGTAATTTTTCAAAACAAGCCCATCCTATGGAATCGTGAATAACAATTTCGCATAATTTCAAAACACATCCCAATTAGAAACATGACATTGTTCAAATATTTGAATTATTAAATAAATGAAAAATACTAATGAATGTAATTCAGGATAATCCAATTACAGAAACTACAGAAAGAAAAAATTTTATACCCAAGAAACATGTGATGTTTTGGAGATAAAAACTCCTTGCAACAAATCATTTCTTAAGAAGTTAATTGGTCGAAGGACTAGATTAACTAATAGTTAGGAATTCATTCATGTTGAATCAAAGGAGAAAATTTAGCATTTATATTGCTTTCTCATTTTAACTCTCATGCTTAAAGTGGTTATTCTCTTGTGTGCCTATGCTTTTGAATTTGCACTTCTATTAATTTTATGGGATCTTTTCTTTTCTAGATTAGAAGTGTCCTCATTTCTATATTTCTTAAAGCTTATAATGTCTTTGTGTTTTTTATTATGACACTACATTTTGAAGATAATCTTATATTTTTTTATTTGTATTTAGTGATTACTTTTTGAAGAAGGAATAGCATGACATGGTTTATCCTTGAGTCCGTACTGCATCGTAGGTACATCATAAAATGGTCACAGCCTCAGACAACAAGCAAAAGTTACCACCTCATGGTGAAGTGGCAAACAAACAAATCATTTTCTCCGTCAATTGGAATTATGAAACTATCCCCATTAGCTATGGAAATCTGAAGGCCTTAGTTTGTCTTTTATCCACAAATAAACCATCACTTATTAGATTTTTTACAGATTATCGACTGCTTTAAGACCAAAGCTAAAACGCTTGTCGATAATTTTTAAACTGAGATGACTTCTGACTCCTCTTTTCTTAGCAACATTTTTGTCACGCACATTGATCATCATTAATAAGCACGGTAATATTTTTGTTATTGTTAGTTCTTGATAATCAACGAGCTAGCTATCAGAAATTATCGTTCAATTAACCATCCGTAAAGTTTCGCAGCCGTCATTTTTATGATGTTAGTGATCCATTGGTTAGGTTTCAAGAGTGCGTCTGTATTTTAACCAATGAGAAGGCCATTGGTTAGCTGACAATTTTTATCGTAATAATATTCATCAAATACTCATTGGTAATGCCAGCATAATATAACCAATGGGCTATGTTGTGGGTTAGGGAAACAATTAATGGAATAATCATCAGAAAACCAAAAACAAGCCAAAACCTGTAGCATAATAAAAATAAGTTCCCCCTTTGTTATTAAAAATTTCAAAATCTGTAATAAAAACACTGCTTAACTGATCCAAGCATTTACATACTAAAATTGTATTTAAATAGTAAATTATCTAATTGAATAGTTAACTAAACAAAATGCATTTAATTTAACCTATATACATCACTGTTCAAAAAGAGAATATATGCTCAAATGTTTAACAAAATCATATACAAATAAAATAAAAAAAATTTCCAATTAACACTCCTCTTTCTCCTCATCATCATCCTCCTCTCCAATGGTGGTTTCTTCCACTGCTTCGTCTGCTGCAATAATGCATCTAATTCAGCCTTTAAGTTGGCCTCCACATTGGCCTCCAACTCCGACCTCATCTGATCAAAGCGGGCCTCTATCTTGATAACAAATACGACAAAATGCTTAGAGACCTCCTCCTCCTTTAAGATAGAAGGAGAAGCCGCAAATGTACTAGTGGAGGGGTGAGCATTGTAAGTGAACTCCTAAGAACCGAGCTCATAGACTCTACCTTTCTTCTTCCCTCCAACAACCTCACGTATGTGTTGTACTCAGACAGATCATGATCTCGGATCTTAATAACGCCTGACGCCTGGCATCAACTATCCTTGAGCTACTAGAATCTCTCTTTCAAAAAAAGTATTTACGTATAATTAGAGCTAGCATGCATAAACGTAAAATTGATTAAACTCACTAATTACCTTGGTCACACAGATCTAACTGCTTCTTATATGTGTGACCGTAGATGCGGGTGGATTTAGTGTGTTAATTTTGCAATTATTTTTCAATATTACAAAATACACACTGCAGATATAATAATAAATATGCAATGTAATCCCAACAAAAGTAACTTTAACAAAAATAGTGTATCTTTAAAACTCTTTTAAACTACCAAATCCCCTTTAAAAATAACGCAAGTATACGTATCACTCAAGTAATAAAAGGTCTAATAGAGTCCTAGCTATCGATCCCACGGTTAAGTTGGAATTGCTTGTAAATAGTTCTTAAGATTATAATTATAATTTAAACTAAAAAAAAGTAAGTGAAGTTTGAATATTAACTACTAAAGTAAATGTTTTTTAAAATGTAGTTGAAAGGCAAAGTTAACTAAACCAAAAATTAAACTTTCAAAAGTAAAATTTAAGAAAAACTAAACGAAATTTTTGTTCACGAAAAGTTCAAATTTAAGAAAGCATCATTCCCCTTACAATGAGCGTATGGATTGTGAAGAAATTAAAATCATTTGAAAATATATATAAAAAATATTTTGTGCTAAAGAGGAGCAATCATATTCTTTACCCTCTTCCCAGTGCTATAAAGAATATTGATTAATCCAGAGTTTGGTCTCTAATGCTGTGGTTAGGCTGAGGCTGAGAGAATACTGACTGCCACTTCAGAGCTCCAACTACTCCCTTCACTAAAGGCTAACAATCTCGCATTAGTTTCCAATCAACTTGACCAAATTGAGAATTTTAATCTGTCACCTTAAAATCTCCAATTCTGCATCAAACAAAGTATATTTTCCTATTTATTTGCACTCAATTTCATGGATGACATACTCTGTCATGAAATCAAATATGATTTTCCCCATGTTGTAGAAATCATAGCCCTTTCGGAACATATGTTTCTCAGCACATTTCAACATTTCAATTTGCCAGATCAAAAGGTAGATGAAGATCGGAGTTCAAACCATCACAAATTATTAACATTTAAAATCGTAGAAAATAAAATTACTTCTTCACAAAACCATATTCCAAAATAAGGAAAAAGATAAAGAAGACTATTTAGAATTCATGAGAAGAATACAACAAAACATGGATTTCATATATAAAAATAAGTGTACAAAATAAAAGAAATAAAAGACACAACTTATCTCACAATCCTTCTCAAGCAAATCCCTAGAAGTTCTCTCCAAATCTTTCTCTCTTTACAAACACTCTCAATTCTCTCTTAGAAGTGTAATGAAAAAGAAATCTTTCACATTTTCTCTCCTCTTGCAACCCTAGAAGAAAATCTCCAAACCTTTGATTTTCTCTCTCTATCTCTTCCTCTTACCTTTCACGCCACCCCCTTTCAAGTCACACACAAACTCCTTGAAGCCTTCTTCTTTTATTTTTGAGCTGCCTCCTTTCAAAAAGAATTCAAATTTTCCTCTAAAATTCAACTCTTTTGAATTCAAAAGATGTGTCGTTTGATTAAAGGACGTATCCCTTCATAAAAGAACCTTCTAAAGTGTAAAGATGCATTGAATTACTCCAAAAGGTATTTAGAACAAGTGTCCCTTTGAAAATTCGCACAAAATTCATCTTGAACCGCCTTAATCCCAAAAAGTCGTCAATATCTTAAGAAACATATTCACAAGCCTAAAATATGTTGCTTTTACTTATACATTTAATGCCTAATTTTTATAATATTGTGCTTTAATGAAAGTTATTTTTGAAGTTTTTCGTTGTAGATGCATTAAATGGAGAAAATGGAACGAAAATAGAGCAAATTGGAGTCAAATGAAGTAAAAATGCCAATACTGATCTAGCGCTTGGCACCTAGGCGTTAGAGGCAGTTATCTAGATGATCCATTGAACGTGGACGAATTTTGAAGAGGTGCTTAAAGAAACTCTTGGAGATTTTGAGAGCTCTATTTATAGATAATTTTAGAGAATCAAAAGAGAGACTTTTGGATGAGGAAAAGGGAGTCTTTTAAAAAGAAGTGGACTCTTCTTAGAGAGGATAATGCCTTCGAGGCTTGCTTGGACTTGGAAGAGAAGAAGTGAGATATCTTCTTCACTACAGTTCTAAGTAAGTTTGGAGTTGAATTGTAAGGAGAGTAAGTGATTCAAAGAAACTAGAAGGATTATATGGGAAGGAATTCAAAAA